GGTCCAGTGGCAACCAGACGAGCTGGTGCACGTTCTGCCGGCGCTGTGGCCTACGCCTCTGCCTGCGTCCCAAGACCGACGAAGAGAAGGCTGTGGCCCAGGTGAAGAAGCAGGTGAAGGCCAAAGCCAAAGAGATGCGCGCCCAGAACAAGGCAGTGCCGGCGGCGGTGATGGCCCAGTACGAGCGGGACCTGATGGGGCTGACCAGCGCAGACGGCGACCCGTGGACTCCGACGCCCCCGCCGAAGCCTCCGCCGAAGAGGACGCCCAAGGCGAGGGGCGCGGCGACGGAGAACCTCGACGAGGTCCCGGACAACCTTTGCGCGCCCACGGACGTGGGGTACATCCCCTACAAGGAGCCGCCTCCAGACGCGCCGGTCAGCAAGAAGTGCGCGCAGCAGGTGAGAAGGGCGGACGTCCGTCCGATGACGCAGAGCGAGATGATGCGCGCGCTGTCCGACATGAAGGTGTGCCTGGAGACGCAGCAGCGGTCCAACGAGTTGACCTGGCAAGGCGATAGCAATCTGATCCGGGAGAACCGCGCCATGGCCGAGAGGACGGCCAACAGCAGCAGTGGCAGTACGGCGCCCAGGAAGAATCCGGAGGACCTCGCGCAGCTGGCGCAGATGATGGCCTCGATCCAGAGCGGCGGAGGCGCAGCGCCGCCTCCAGCTTGAGCGTCTGAGGCCCCAGGCCCTCCGGAAGCTCTAGAGGCCAGATCGCGCGAGCAGTCGAGGCCAATAGTCTCGACGGAAGTCCTGCTGAGAGATATGGGGGCTTGGCGCGCCCGTATCGGGCCCAGCGCCAGCTTATCCGATTTCGATCCCGTGTTGGGGGTTTGGGACAGCGCCGATCGTAGATTTCTGGAGTCTCGGGATCTAGAGGAGCTTCTAAGATGGGAGAGGCACGAGTTGTTTCCCAGTGAACGTAAGTTTTTTTCGTCGCTCTTGCCATGGAGGCGTGTGGGGGAGGACCGCCAGCCAGTCTGTTTCCTCGAGGGGCTCGATGGGTCGAAATCAGCTCGGCCTCGGGGGATCTGAAGATGAGTTCTCCATGGCTGGGTGCGACCGCGTCTGAGACCAGGGGCGCGATAGAGTCTGCGAGAAGGGGCCAGGACAACTTTGCTAAGACTCTCGGAGTGTGCCGAGGGCCCGAGCCGGAGCCTAGCGTGAGCGTTTGGCGGGAGAAGTCCGTGTCCTCGACCTCCTCTCTCCTCCCTCGCTGCGACTCCCCCGGGGTCCCGTCCTCTGAGCTCGACTCTCGCTTCAACTACGTGATCTCCGACCGCTTCGCGGCTGCCGCCTTAGAGGCCTCGGGGCCAGGAGATCGCGTCGGGGTATCTATCCCGAGGAAGGTGAGGGAGGCGACGGCGCGGCTCTTAGAGGGCCTGGGCCTCAGATCAAGCAAGAAGCTTAGACGGCGCCAGGCCCTAGTGGCCGAGGCAAAGCGGGCCGGGACCTTAGTTCTAGAACTGTTCTCGCCCCCCCGGATCTCTAAGGAGCTGGAGCGCCGAGGCTACAAGGTATCGCGCGCCTTCGACCTGCTGACGGGTGTGGATCCCAGCACTAAAGCGGGTCAGGAGTCGCTCTGGAGCGCTCTCGAGAAGGATGAGCCCTTGCTGGTCCTCATGAGCCCCGAGTGTAAAGCGTTCAGTGAGGCCCGGGCTTCGACCTGGGACACTATGGGCCCCCAGGCTAGGGGGGAGGTCGAGCAGCGAGGCCTCGAACACGTGGACCTCTGCGTTCGTGTCGCTCGATGCCAGAGGCGGAAGGGATGTTATTTTTCGTTCGAGCATCCTGAGGGGGCCAGCTCGTGGGACTTGGAGCAAATGCAGGCGCTGTTGGCTTGCGATGACGTGCACGTAGTGGTCAATGACCAGTGTGAGTTCGGACTTTCAGTCGTCAAAGACGGCGGGCTCTCTCGTAAGAGGACCCGGCTCATGAGTAACGCAAGTTTGTTTCTGCGCCGGTGCGTGCGCAAGTGTTCCGGGACTCATTCGCACGTGCATGTGGAGGGGGGCCACAGGACCAGGCGATCGCAGCAGTACCCTGACGAGCTCATCTCCGCGATGGCATCGGCCGCCGAGGAGGTGGCATGGTGCCATCATCATCTGAGCGGATGGGCTGGCTGGAGCAGTGAGCCCGAGTCTCCAGAGGCGCTAGAGGTCCCTGTTGCCGGACTTCCCGAGCGGTCCTTTCCAGAGCTCGACCCTCCGGACGACGAGTCCGACGAAGATGTCCCGGAGACCTTGCCCTGGGGACCAGCGGCACAGGCTCCCGCCGCCGAGTCTAACGCGGTTTCCCTGGAGCCAGAACTGCAGCGTGAAATCTACAAGCTTCACGTCAACCTGGGACATCCAGCTCTAGCTGACTTTCTCCAGGCTCTTCGGCTTGCCAGGGCCAGGACGGACGTGCTCGAATGGACCAAGCATCATTTCGAGTGCGGGGCCTGCGACTCGCATTCACGAGCGCATTGGCGTCGCCACTCGCACCTCCCGCGCACATACGAGTTTAATAAGCTAGTTGCTCTAGACCTGTTCTACCTTGATGTGGAGGGGGTTAGTACGCCGGTGTTGAATGTCATATGTCATGGAACTAACTACCAGCAAGCCTGCCTTCTCCCTAACGATACAGCTAAGGCTACGTGGAAGGGCTTCCTCCAGCTCTGGGTGAGGCCATTCGGCTTGCCCGAGGTGCTGATTTCCGGTGGAGGCGGCGAGTTTGGTCGTGAATTTGCGAGGGGGTGCGAACATCTGGGTATATTTCACCAAGTTGTGCCGGCCAGCTCTCCGCATTATAACGGGCGCTGTGAACGTCACGGGGGCATCTTAAATGACGTTGCGTCGAAGGCCTCATTGGCCACGAGCCCCACCAGCCGAGATGAAGTGGAAGTTCTCCTGTGCGAGGCCATAGCGGCCAAGAACAGCACGTGCCATCGCGGGGGTTTCAGTCCGGTTCAGATGGTTCTGGGTAGGGCCCCGAGAGTGCCCCGGTCACTGCTGTCTGACGATGAGTTGGACCTGGTTGGCTGCGAAGACGTGCTCGGCGGGACCTCTCAGCAGGACTCTGCCGCCGCGGAGTTTGCTCGACGCCACGTCTTGCGCCAGGAGGCTCGCAAGGCCATGGCTGCGATGGACGCGCGCTCCCGGCTGTCCGAGGCCAGCCGTGCTCGGCTTCACGCCGAGAGGTTTTTCAAGCCAGGGGAATGGGTGTACGTGTGGAGGAGGCTGACGGGGTCTAGCAGATCTCACTCTCTGCAACGCGACCGGTGGACCGGTCCCGGGGCCGTTGTTTATCGAAGTAAGGGGACGGTGTGGGTGGCTATGAGAACCCGTTTACTCAAGTGCTCAGAGGAGCAAGTTAGGCCTGCCACTCGTCAGGAGTCCCTCGGCGCCGAGTTGCTGGATTCGGCTCGTTTTGAGGTGCTGCGTGAGCAGGTCAGGGCCCCGGGGCGTAAGACAGGAGCGGAAGATGTTGCTGCGGAGGGCCCCGCCCCCCCCCTGAGGCCTGGGACGGGCCCGACGCCGGTGACCTGGCGGCGCCCAGCTCTGAGACGCGGGTCTTGAACCCAGCGGCCGCAGCCCTTGTGTCGACCCCAGCTGTTGCTCCCGCCTCGGCCCCTCGGACGGCTGAGGTGCGCGCCGAGCCGCCGAGCCGAGATGAGACGCAGGTTCCTGATGTGTCAGAACCCTCGATGGCAAGGGCCACGAGCGGTTCAGAGCCAGCCCACTCCGAGCTGGATTCCTCCGCCTCTCGAGGGATCGCCAGAGCCATGGGTTCAGAAGATGACAGGGCCGTGCGGCCCCGATTGACCCCGATCGAGGACGTGGTGGGCCCGGCCGCCAGGGTGGCCACTATGGTTCGGGAAATTGAGAACGTTCGCGCTGCGAACGGAATGCCCCCGGGACCCTCTCCAGATCACCATCCCTGTCACGTATATGGGCGAGTCCCTCGCTTGAGGTCGGTGTCGCTTCCGAGGCCGTCCGCGAGACGGTCCGCTCCTTTTCCCTCCTCCGAGTCCTCTCCCGCTGTCTCGTCCTCCTCCGCTCTCGCTCCTCCCCCTCCCCCCTCTGCGAAACTTCCAGAGCATCTGCGTCGTGCGCTGGGCGCTCCTGCCCCCCTTCGCGACCTATGGACCTGGGAAGGTATGTGGTTCCGACGGTGCCGAGGGGAGACGGAGCCGCGGCGGAGACCCCTCCTGGAGGTTTTGACGGTTTCTCAGGTGAAGTGGGCGACTTTCAGGATGCTCAGCTCCTGGTTGAGCTGCAGCAGTGGTCTGCCAGGAGGGGGGCCCCCAACTACTTAGCCCTCTTCCAGGATTCTTCGGAGTCGGCCGAGTTTTCAGGTCCGGCCACGGTTTCGGGCTCGGGAAAGCCAACCAACCCCCGGGGAGCTGAGGTGGTCATGAAGAATCTGACTCCAGAGGAACGCGCTCAGTTTGCAGAATCTGACATTGCCGAGTGGGAGGCAATTCTGTCTTCAGGCGCAGTGCGAGTGCTCTCTCCAGACGAGGCGCGCCCTGCTCGCAGGCGCCATCCCGATCGCGTGTTATCGTCTCGCATGGTGCGCAGATTTGAGCCGATGGAAGGGGTTGGAGCTAAGGCGAAGGCGAAGTCGCGCTGGTGCTTTCATGGGCGCCAAGACCCCGACGGCGAACATCTGTCCGTGTACGCACCGACGCCACAGACTGAGAGTATCCTCGTCGCCTTGCAGGTTATTGCCTCGATGAACTGGTTTCTGAATATCGCTGATGCGAAGAACGCGTTCTGCCAGTCGAATCGTTTGGAGCGTCCGAATGGTGCAAAATATGTAGGACCTTGCTCCGGGCTCAGCCTGCCCGTGGGCTCCCTAGTTGAGCTGGTCGCGCCGGTGTACGGCCTTAATGACGCTCCGTTGCTGTGGCGCCGCGCGCTTACGGACTTCTTGTCCTCGCTCGGTTTTGTCAAGTCTCTTTTGGGGCCATGTCTATGGCTGAAGAGGAGCAAGTTGGGAGGGCTGGAGGCCCTGGTGCTGATCGAGGTTGCCGATCTCCTCTTGTCTGGCGAAGAGACCGTCATGAAGTCTCTGAAGCAGGCCCTCGCGGATCGATTCAAGTTCGGGAAATGGAAGGAGCGTGAGGCCGATTACGCTGGAAGACGTCTCTGCCAACTGCCCGATCGAATTGTCGTGGATCAGGAGAAATATATTCGGGAGCAGCTTTCGACCATGTTCTTGGGGAAGGATCGTCGGTCTCAGGTCGAGTCGCCGCCCAGTCGGGAAGAGATCAGCTCTTGCCGCGCGATGGCGGCGCAAGTTCAATGGCTTGCACGTGAATCTCGCCCAGACGTTGCTGGGTCAGCATCGTTGCTAGCGGCTGCGCTGCCCGCGCCTTGTTTGGCGGATGCGCTTGCACTGATCAAGGTTTGCAAGTTCCTGCAAGCGTCGCCTGAGCAGAGACTCACGATCTGGAACTTGGATCCTGCCTCGGTCACTTTTGTTACTGCGAGTGACGCTGGTGGGCCCGGAAGTGCGCGCCGTGGTGGGGCCCGAGGGGCCTGGATCATCATGGCTGCGGACTCGGTCATGCGCGACAACCGTCGCGCGCGCGTGAGTGTTTTAGCGTGGAGATCGCTGCGCATGAAGAGAGCGGTGTCCAGCGCCGTGGCTGCTGAAACTCTGGCTTTGTCGGGGGCCACGGGAGAGGCTCAGTGGATCCATGTGCTCCGGCGCGACGCGGTGTTTGAGGGCGTTCCTAGGCCGGCTTGGTTTGATAATCAGCGGCCTTTCGCCGTAATGTTGGCTAGCGACTGCCAGTTGGGAGATGCGGCCTCAGGGCTGTCTGTGGTAGACGCTAAGTCGGTGTTCGACGTGCTGAGTCGAAACTCAACGGGCTCTCGTGCGGACAGGAGAAATGTTGTGGAGCTCGCGGTCATTCGAGATTCGCTCGCCTCAGTCGGCTCTCGCATGCGTTGGGTTCCGCGCGCGAGAATGCCTTCGGATCCTCTCACCAAGGTGGACCCCTTCTCGGGTAATCATGCTCTAAGGGACCTCCTCTCAAAGGGCACCTTGGTGCTCGTGGGCGAGCACGGACACTTGGACGAGCGCTCGCTCAACGCGAGTCTGAAGTCGAGGTCAAGAGGCGCCGGCCGGAAGATGCTGGACGCCGCAGAGTCGGGAGCTCCGGGGCTCGAGGGCCCCGTTTGGATCTCTCTCGGGGAAGACGGTGACGTCTCGGTTTCCTTGTCTCAGGAGGGCTGTGGGGCCGCTCTCTCGTGCTGTTCTGGAGTATGGAAAGGTGTCTCGGGGCCCCAGGGGGCGGCGGCAGCGGCGGCGACGACGACGACGCCGCCTGGCCCGCAGACGCGCCCGCCCCAGACCTTGGAGGACCCCGAGGTGGTGGACCCGGCGCGGGGCAAGGCCGGGTACGGACGGAGGGGGGAGGGAGGAGAAGATCTGGGACGAGGCTACGACTCGGGGGGCGCGGATAGCTTCAAGCCCGCGAGAATTTGGCCCGCTGTCCCCCCAATCTAAGTTTGGTTCCCCTCGTGACTCTCGGGTCGGCCTCCTCCCCTCCGCTCGTGCTTTCGCTGTGCCTAGCCTTTTAGGCTCAGTGCCCGAGATTGATCTCTCTTCGCGCTGATATGTAATCCATCCCTCCTCTCTCCAAGTCCCACCGCTCTTCATGTCGACCCATGGTGATGACAGGCTGTCGATTACGACGTTCGTCGACTACGACGACCACGGTTGACGGTCGGCGGCGACGACGACGTCGACGACGAGGACGACGACCCACGACGGCGACGACGACGACGGTCGACAGACGACGACGGTCGACGGTCGACGACGACGGCGATGACGACGACGACGGTTGCTGTCGACGACGACGGTCGACTATCGTTATGTCGGCAGATCATCCTACAGGGCCACATCGGGAACCCTTTTGTTCTTTTCCCCGCCAGGCTCCCGCAGAGGCATCCGCAGGCCCACCCGAAAGCACCCGCAGAGCATCCGCAGAGCATCCGCAAGAGCTATGTCAGGGTTCATGTTTTTTTCCTCAAACCCTTTCTTTTTTTCCATATGCACGTTTTCCTTCTCAGCGCCGCTTTTTTGTTTTTTTGTATCTCCGTGTGCTTGGGCGCACCATGGCGAGCGGTTCACGCGCCAACACAATAGTTTCATTCATGCGCACGCACGCCCGACATGACATCAAAAACACAGGCCGAATGTACCACGGCACGCCGCGCAATCTCAAGATCCGCTACCAAGAAGGCTGCTTAGCAAGATGCAGCCGTTGCTGGCGCAACAAATCACGGGGGGTCGCACTACAGTTCCGCTACCACTATCACGGGCAACTATGCCCGAGTTGTTCGCGCCATACGGCGCATCCGTGTTTGCATCCACAAAAAACGGCCTCCTCCTCCTCATCCTCCTCCTTCTCCTCCTCCCCCCGTCCCCTTTCTTCCTCCTCCTCGCCATCCTCCCACGCATCCGACCCCTCCTCCTCCTTATCCCCTTTTCTTCCCCCTCCTTCTCCTCCTCCCTCTCTTCATCCTTCTCCTCCTCCTCCACCTCCTTATCATCCTCCCCCCCATAATGCCATCTGGGTTAGGGGCCTTTAGGGTTAGGGGTCAAAGATATGTTGGTGTTAGGGTCAGTGTACCTTGGGCCCTTAGGATTAGGAGTTGTCTTGAGGTTAATGTTAGAGTACTTTGGGTTAGGGGTCATCTAAGGGCGAGGGGTTCGGGGCCACCGCAGGTTAGAGGTTATATGATGGTTTGGGTTATGGGGTTATCTCAGGGTTAGGGTTATGTGCTATCTTAGAGGTAGTTTTAGCGTTAGCTTTAGCGGCTATCTTGTAATTGGGGTGGGGGTTAGAGCTAGGCTTAACATATCTTGGAGCCCTCCTGTTACACCCTCCATGCGCCTCCACATTACCCACCTCATCCTCGCCTTTCGCCTCCTCCTTGCCCAACCGCATCCTCGCGCCCCTCGCGGCTATCCAACTTGTCCACTCCCATGCCTTATCATTCATCCGTCTTCGCATTCATCCACTCCCCCTCGTCCTACCGCCCCCCCGCGCCGTCACCCCCCCTTTTTCCGGGTGTTTTCCCTTCCTGTACGTTCCCTCCCGCCTGCCGTCCACCTCCCTACCCCGCCCGTTCCCTCCCCCCTCCTCCTCCCTCCATGCCTCGTCCTCCCTCGGGCCGCGGGCTGGCGGGCTGTCCTGGGAAGAGGCCGAAGCTGATGACAGGCGGACGCCGCGCCCGCCCCGAGGACGACGACGACGATCGACGATCGACGACCGACGGTCGACGATCGCCGACGACGACGACGATCGGCGATCGACGATCGACGATCGACGACGACTACGACAACGACGACGACGACGACGACGACGACGACGATCGACGATCGACGACCGACGGTCGACGATCGCCGACGACGACGACGATCGGCGATCGACGATCGACGATCGACGACGACTACGAACACGACGACGACGACGACGACGACGACGACAAGGGTGAGGAGGACGACGACGACGACGAGTACCTGAGTATTCTTTTCCATTTCTTTTTAACCCACCCCACGTCGCAGCATCCCAGCTGTCGACCACATTACTGCAGCTTCGCTGCCTTGACTGCGCGCTCCACGAGCGCCGACGGCATCTGGTCCCACTTCGCACCCTCTTTCGTCGCGAGCCTCTTGAGCGCGAACACCTTCTTCTTGAGCTCCTCTTTGCTGTACTTGGCGGTGAACAGCGCGGCCACCATGCCCTCGATGTGGCTCTGCGCCAGAGCCTTCATCACGTCGCTCGCCGTCTTGGTGGAGTCGGGGCTCGGCACGCGAGTGAACACGCTGGCCACCTCCGTGTGCGGCTTGAGCAGCTCCTGGATCTTGGTCTTCTCGACGTTGAAGCTCTCCGACGCGTGCTTGCACACGGTCTCCTTCGCCATGGGCAGCAGCTCGCTGAGGTCGTTCGCGTCGTTCGCTGACCCCCACCACGATTCACCGTCAGCACCGCCCTTGGCCCACTTCGCAGCGTGGTTCACCCTGTTGTCGAGCTCGGCCTTGGATATCCCCATCGCCTGGTCTCCGACGGTCTGGATGTAGTTCTTCGCGCTCGTGTGGGCAGCGACCAGGACCTCCTTCTGCTCGCACTCGGGGATGCTCTGCATGACCTGGTCGAGCGCGATCTCTTTCAGGATGATGGTCTTCGTGCTTTTCATGGGCTCCTCGTCCGTCACTCCAGAGCCGTCCTCGCTGCCGCTGGTCATCGAGACGTGCGCTGCAATGCTGAACTTCGTCTCGCCTGCAGCGTGGAACGCCTTGAAGATGTCGGTCATGCCGTCGCCCGCCACCAATGCGATGTCTTTCATGACACCTGCAATCTCGCCATTGCTCGCGTTCACCGCGTCCTTGATAGCGTCCCACACGCGGCTGCAGAAGGACGTGACCGCTTCCTTGCCCTCGACATCGAGTGAGCTCTCGGTGAGGTTATGCAGCGCGACTTTGACGGCACGAACTTTCTCAATGTCGATGTTGCCCGCCTCGTCCTTGGCGCCGCCCATCATCATCTCCTTCAGCCCGTTCATGATCTCCTTCGCTCCTGCCTTCTCGATCACGGCGCCGATGTGCTCCCTCGCGCCGATGCCGAACTCCTCGACCCAGCACTTGAGGTCCAGGCTGTCCTTGAACATCTTATCCGCTGCGAGCAGCTCGGCCTTGCTGTAGCCGTCCCCGCCATTGACCACGCCGCTCTTGTCGAACATCTTCGACTGGATCACGCCGAGGGCCCCAGCGATCTCGATCTCCAAAGTGTGGGTGGAGCCGGCCCTCAGGATCGTTCGGCAGGACTTCAGGATGTCGAAAGCTTCGTCGATGATAGCGCTGGGAAGACTGATGGGAGCCTCGCTGGTCTTGAGTGCCTTGACCTGGGCAGCGCTCTTGAAGATCTTCGGCGTCCACTCCCTGGCATCCTGGATGGTGGTCTGCAGCTCCTCGTAGATCTCCTTCCAGTGCTCATTCAAGCGAATCATCACTCCCAGGTCCGCGAGGGCGCCCTTGGTCTTCTTGGCCTGCTGGAGGAAGAACTCGTCCAAGGCATCGAAGTCCATGTCGGCAGTGCTGTCGCTGAGGGCGCACATGGCGCGAAGCACGGCCAACGTGTCGCTCGCGGCGGAGGGGATCTCCTCCATCTCTGCGACGCCTGCCTCAAACCGACTCAGCATGGCAGCGCACAGGCGCGACGCTGCTACCTGGCCAGCCTGATCCACCTGCATCGCCGCTGGGACGATCTCCTTCAGGAGCACGCTCAGGAGCAACGTCATCCTGGAGTCACTCGAGCCGTCGATAGTCGCCATGCTAACCTTCATGGGGTCGAACTCCTCGGGGTCTGGGGCCATCTTCTCGTCGCCGTCGTCATCGCAGGTCACCTCCTGGCTCGCGTTCAGCTTCTCAACCGTGAAAGGCATGACGGTATCCACGATCTCCTTGATGCAGGCGTCGTCGGTATCTCCACTCGAGAAAGCCAGAATCGATGAGAACAATCTCTTCCCCAAAAGCTTGCTCTTGATGTTCGAATCGAAGTCCACCTTCTTCGTCACAAGTTTCCCCAAGATGGTGCTAAGGCTAACGAAGGTCACTTTCTCATTGGCTAGCTCAGTCATCAGCTCCATGCAAAGATCGATTGCGTCGATGTGTTCGGTCAAGTGGTTGGCCTTCACCGACTCGCCCTGGCCAGCGATGCGCTTGACGCAATCCCTTGCCCAGCCCACGTGCCTCTTCAGGGGGGCGCCCGCGAACACTCTCGACGGGGTGATGGTCTCGTGCCAGTGCTCGGGCGGCTTAAGGCGGCCACCCTCGCCGTCCACGCCCGTGGCCGCCGCATCGGCGATCGACGGCGCGACGTTCGTGCCTGGCTTTGCCTTCTTCGAGCTCGGGGCCAACGCGAGGGTCGGGCTCGCGTTCTCGGACGTGCGCTTCTCCTTGGTCCTGGAGCTGTCCGCCGCTGCTGAGGTCCTCGGTGCCCTGGGCGTCTCTGGCGCGTCTGAGTGCTGGGGCCCAGCCGACGCCGAAGCCTGCCCGGCGTCGGTCGCTGGAGGAACTTGCTGCTGTGCTGCGCCTGCAGCTGCCTCCTGCTCGGCCTCGGCCTCAGCCTCGGACGACGCGCCCCCCGCGTCCGAGCCAGAGTCATCAGGAACATCACCATCGCGCACCATGCGACGCAACCCCTTGGGCCTCTCGACGTTCTTCTTCGCGAGCTGCTTGATCGCATCCTTCTTGTAGGCGCTGAACTTCTTGGCCTTCGGCTGGTACTTGTTCCCGAACTTCTGCCCGTGCGCGCGCGACCGATCAGCCGACATGTTCTCAAAGAGGTTGCTCGCCTGAGCTTTGTAGAAGCTGCGGCCCTTCACGAGGATGGGCGTCCTCCTGACGAGCCTCCTCGTCGTGGTCACCGTCAGCTTCGGAGGTGCATCCGTCTCCGTGGCCAGCACCACGCCGAAAGACTCCTCGCCTTTAGAGTTCGT